TGATTAATTAGGTTTTCACAATGTCAAAAACGCAGTAGTTTTGCAATTTTGCTTACACCGAATCTGCTCCACAGTTCTTGTTCTTGCTTTCTTTAATTTTCTGCATTTTACTGCTTTTACTTTACTTGTTTTGATGTTTTAATTGCTTTACAGATCACGGTAGCTAGGTTTTATTGCTTTGTTTACTTGCTTTAATCTTTGTAGAAGCTTAGTTTTAGGTTTAGATAGATTTTACTGCATTGTTTTAGGTTCTGTCATAGATTAGCATAAGATTAGAATAGTTTAAGTGTAGCTAGGTTCTCATTTTAATTTTCTGCACTACAAATTCCCCTTGAATACTGAAAAACTCATAAATATACATTACTTCACTCATTCCATCATTCACATCACACATTTACCACTGTTTTGAACATTTTGACCGAAGTGACCACTGTCACTCGGTCAGGTTTTCAACCACACGCACCAAAACAATCTCACACGGTCATCTCACATTTTTAAAACTCAAAATACAAAAATATTTGCATTTACATCGGTCAACCATACATTTTATACACTTCATTTGATTCTTGACCGAGGCATTTCTTCATATATTCATTTTGACCGAGACCTTTTATTTTGTTGATTTTCTCGACCACTTTTCGACCACCAGATCTGTTCACTACGGTCATTTTCCATTTTAAAAACTCAAAACTCAAAAATAGTTACATTTCACTCGGTCAGTCATATATTTTACACCTTGAATTTGATTCTTGACTGAGAAATTGTTTTTACATTTCATTCGACCGAGAGTTCACATTTCTAACCGTGGTTACTATTCATTGTGGTCGATTTATGAATTTTGTTTAGCTTCATTCATCTGAATTTGTTTTCATTTCTGTCTACATTCTTATAGGTCAATCATATATTTTGTTCACTAATTTCCATTTTTGACCGAGACAACTCATTAGTTTTTGTATGTTGACCGAGAGCACAAAATTTTGACCGTGATTCCTGATCGTTATTACTCGTTCACGTCGGTCGATTTACGATACTTGACCGTGTATACTTGTTCATCACGGTCAGATTTGTGATTTTGGGTCGATTTGTGATTTTCCATATTTTTAGCCATTTTTGCATTCTGCAGATATTTTCATTCACTACATGATTAGGATTTTACCTCATTTTAATTTAGTTTAAGATTGTAAATTTCATTTTTAGTTTAGTTCCCCATTGAATCATTCATAACTCAATCATATACTCTTATTACTTCCCACGGATTGATATTCTGGTTCCCATTGTACTGCATTATTACTATTTTAGGGGAACTCTTTTGAAAGTGTTGAAACTGCGACATATCAATTTAACCTCTTTCAGGAGCCTTCACACAAGTGGCTCTATCAGCACACATGAGCATGCCATACGTATGGTAAGTCTTTATACCATACATTTACGATTTTGAAAAATTTATTGGGTTTTATATCTCAAATTGTTTATGTAATGTAGGCAAAGGAACTTGGAAGATCAGTTTTTATTGATGAGATCTTCCAACAGACTCATATTAGGAGGAAGACGGGTCAATTTGTTGATGAAAGATCTAGGAAGACACACGTGAGAACCTTCATGTTAAACTTTGTATATTATGTAAAGTTAATAATCATGTTAATAATTGATTTGTTTCTACTAATAGGAGGAATTTGAAACTAGACTTTCACAAGCTAGGTCATCTGCTGGATCTTGTGTTGGCGAACCTGAGTCCACTCCTGCTGATACTGCACATGATGAAGTTATAAGGTCCCGTTGTTGGGTGGACACAGTTGGAGGTAAGAATAAAGGAAGATTGTATGGAGTTGGACAACTTGCTGATGGCTATCAGGGTGGTTCAGATAGCTTGAAGCATCAAACTCAAGCATCCAGCTCCTCAGTTGACTTAGAAGAGATTAATCAATTGAGACAACGATTGTCTGTACAAGAAGAAGAAATACGTCGAACAAGGGAGCAGAATGAAAGACTAGAGCACCAATTCAGAGAGTTTCAATCCCTTGTCGGTCATCTTCTACCCCCCAGTGCACAATCTCTTGTTCAACAACGTTAACATAGTGAAGCAGATGATGAACAACAACCCCAACAACAACAATTGAATGAAGAGCAACAAGATAACCCACCACAGGATGACAACATACCAGAACATCATTCTCCTAATTATTCTCATTATTAAATGTTATACAAATATCTATAGAATAATATTTCAATTCTACTTGTATGTTGATACTCTTTTTAGGATTATACATTATGTTTCATTATGCATAAATTACAGTACATTTGAATTTACTTATGATTAAGGTGAGTTAGATTTATGTTTAATTGAATTGTTGAATATATTATTGAATTGGACTGGATTGAATCTTATTTTACAGGTTATATGGGATGAAAAAAAAAATAAACTGCTCTGGAACTAGAGGTGGTTTTATCGACGGATTTACCGACGGATAATCTGTCGGTAAGATTTGTGCATAATTGGTAATTACTGACGGAAATATCCGTCAGTAATTATCTATGACATTTACCGACGAAAATATCCGTCAGTAATTATCTATGACATTTACCGACGGAATAGTAAAATTTGTCGGTAATTACTCATATGATATTTATCGACAGACTTGCAAAATTCATCGGTAAATTTTACCGATAACACTATTACCGACGGATTTAGGACCGTCGATAATCCGTCAGTAATATATATTTACCGACGAAATTTGTTACTTACGGACGGATTTTGTTCGTCGGAAATTTTGATTTTTCTTGTAGTGAGTAATATCATGTAACAAATCTATTTGTACCTACAAAATCAAATAGTTGAATGAAAATAATGATTCATTGTGTTGAAAATATCAGAAATAATATAAATTTTGAGTTGATTGTGACAGACATGGTTTGGTTTTAGGACGAGAATGAGAGCATGGATTAGAGAGATGAGGCCATGCATTTTTATCATTTAACATGCCAAAATATTTATACACATTCTTAATTATTGTGAACTCCAATAATTCATGGTGTTGGATTTGGGAAGTGAAGTACTTCACGACACTACAACCTCCATTAATGTAAAGCTGTGAAAAAATAAAAATAAAAAATTCACAGTAAAACAATTCTTTTACACCACCAATAAAGCAAAAGTCTTTAATAATGAAAGCAACATAAATAAAATAATTGTCATCAAAACTTAAATCAATTTTTCTCTTAAAAAAATTATTATAACTCAATGTTATTTATATAATATAATTTATTTTTATTTTTAATTGATACAAGAGTTCTAATATATTTTTCATGTAGAAGATAATTAATTTCTAATTTTCGTAGCTTACATAGAAGACTTCTTTTCTTATAGATGATTTCCAACACATTCTCTTGTTTAGAGATTAAGTATTTAATATTACCTATTATTGATATTTCATTAAATTTTGTTAAAATAAATATAAAATTAAGAAAATAAATATATATTTACTCACTCTTACAAATTTAGTTTGCAAGAAAAAATTGATATCTTTATTATTATATATTATAATTTAATTATATTTTTATTTGATGTAAACTTTTCTAACAATATTTCTCTGAAACAAATGAAATATAATTACCTAAATTATATATGCTTTTTTATTTATGCTATGAATAATTTAAATTAATATTATTTAAATATATTTGTTCTTTATCAATTCTATTTAAAAGAAATATATTTTTGTTAGAATTTGGTATTTTTTTTAGGTTTGTCTGTAGTAATAAAAAAACAAACTATTTTTTTCTAATTTAATTAAAAATAAATTTTTAATTTAATTGCGAATAAATTAAAATTTTATTTTTTAATAAATTAAAATTTTATTTTTTAATAAATTAAAATTTTCTTTTGTAATTCAATACTAATGAATTAAAACTCTTTCTAACTTAGTTAACTTTATTTTCAATTAAATAGAATCTAGATTTTTTAAATATCCTAAATTTTACTAGCTAATGTATTACTATTTTTTTTTACTTATTAGTTTAGTTTTCTCGCTTTTATAATAATAATAATAATTAATATTGAAAAATACCTAATATGAATTGAAAATAGAAATAAACCTTTATTTAGTTTGTAACTTTACGGGTATTAAGAGGATATTTAAGTCTTTGTTTTCGTATTTTCTTTACTTCATATTCCCTACCTTTTGGCCCTATTACTACACATTTTGATAGACCTTATGATTTACTCATGCTTACTTATTAACCAATTTATATTGTTTGGTTGAGTAAAAAATTGATTTATCTATTTAAAACACTTGAGTAAAGATATTTTAGTACATTTGTCTCTACAAATTCTAATTTCATTCATGTTACATTGTTTAAACCTTTATCTTACATATGATTGGAATGCATTTCCCAGTAAGATGGTGATGGTTTTGATAATTAATTTCTAAATATATACTAAAAGCATACTTTTTTATATTTATATGGATAAAAATACATGTTAAACAACAGAAAAATGATTTGAAATTAACATGCTAGCCAGGTTTCACCACCCCTGTAATTCAAAAACAATAATAATGACAAACACCTATGTGACCTGAAAGGGTGCCATTGATCAAGTCATGTTATCCACCCTAAAAGATTAATGACAAATTTTGGACCTCAAAATCCAAAAACATGGCACCCAAGAAATAAGAAGATGAAGTATTTCATGTATCTGTACCATAGCTCCGGTCCCCTGCATCTCCAAGGCCAGGAATTATGAACCTAAGGACACAAATAAGATATATTCATTAATTTTAGATTAAAGATTGAATCTTTGTAAATGTTTTCATTTAACTTTTGGTCGAGCAAACTGTAGCAGTCTTGTTTCACTTTCAGTTTACAAAATTGTCACCTTGTTCTTAATTTGTGTTCCTGTCTCAGAATTCTATACAGGAAATAGAGAATACAAAAAAAAGACAGATGCCTTCCTTATTTCTTGTACAAATATTTGAAAACACAACAAAAATTATAAAAAGGTAACACTATTTTTGTGAAAATTTGACAGTTATAAAAACTGCCACAAAAACTGTAGAGACCAAAACTTGAAATGTTAAAAGGATCAAACAAAATAGTTTAAGCATAACTAAATTATAATATTGTTGGGGCACGAACCCTTTTTCATTAACTTCAGGGTCAATTATTCCAGTATAGACATGAAGCCTGCAAAATGTCATCATAATTAGAAACTATTGCTTGAAAGAATGCGAGAAATTTGAAGTTTGTTTGATTTACCCAGGAAACTGCTCACTCAGCTTTTGAAGAGCCGGAGGAGCAGATACAGCTGATATCTGCGATGAGATAAATTCATTGAAAGTTTTAGTATTAAAAATACATTTCACTATTGCATGTTCTACAACCACAGTTTCTTTACGTATCCGAATCAGTGAACTGTTTAATTGGTAGTTTATTGGAACATAGACCAATTTGGTTATGTTAAAAACAGTGCATTGAAAATTATTATGTTTCTTGAAAGAAATATAGTATCTGAAAACACATTCCTTACCACTTTTATCTGCTTGTTGCCAACTCCACGATCCTTTAAAAGGCTCAGAGCAGCCACTACAGTGCCACCTGAAATTCGTACAAAATAATATGAAGCACATAAATGATGGAGGGGTGTCATTTTTTTTCTATTTGACTGCTTCTCTAAATTAGTGACTCCGGAATTTGATCACAGACATGGCCGAGTTTGCTAGAGTTTCTGTCTACTTTTATTGGACTTAAGAAATAAACACACAAAAGTCTAAATATGGTTAGAAAAAGTCTCTTGAGTGTAAATACAAGGTTTCCCCATAACTCACATCCCTCTTGGAGTTTCCTACTTCAAAACACAATGAACAGTATGATACTGACTGTATTTTGTTTCCTACTTCAAGTTGGAACTGAAGCACATTGGATCCCACTCTATCACTCCAATTTTGTTTCACTACAATCTCATTTCCACTGCTGTCTGTTGTCATCAACATTTTCTGGTGACACTTTTCTGTCAAATATCAGATCTAGTTTGCCTTCCCAAGCTGAAGCAAACCCTGAAGCCACCAGAGGTTGAAGCTTACACATACAGAGCTTCGTTGTTTTTCCCTGTCAGGGACGTGCAACTCAAATTGTCATCCAGTCATGTGAGATTTGGCATGCAACCATTGCCAGTCTTGTCACGATCTTTTACCCCTGTTTGGGTCACAGGTCCAAAAGTTGTCACTCTTCTTGAAAACTGACCTCTTGTTTCAACAAATGAATTCTGCAAGCTCATATTTTCAACTTCTGGTACCCACATCATCACTACTATGAAACTAAATGGAAAAAATTATTTGTCATGGTATGCCTCTGTAAAATTGTGGTTACTAGGTCAGTGACACCATGATCATCTCGAGAAAGAATTTATATCAATTGAGGAACGTGCCCATCAAAGAACGACTTCCAATCAAAAGTTTTCTTAAAAAAACTGGTCATGATATAATATCATTAAGCCCTCAAGCCCAATCAACTATTCAAGAGCTTAAAATGTTTCTAGAGGCTAACTCATTAGAAGAGTCGAAGTAACTTGACAAATTATACATGGTAGTAGTTCTTCATGGTTTGAATCTCAACTTTGATCAAGTTCACGATCAGATTCTTACTGCTCAAGAGATTCCTTCAATAGAAAGTTTAACAAGGCTTTGTGTTCCTACGCTTGAAAAAGGTTGGGAAACTTTTGAATTTGTTGAATCTTCGGTAATGGTATTAACTCGCAGAAGGTGAGGTTGAAGCAATGATGTAGTGATAAAGGTGGTCATCCTTTCTTTCTTCCCTGCAGGATCCCAATTCTCTTCATGACGTCTTACCTATTCCATCCTCCAAGTCACCCTGTCTGTTTCCCAAGAGTCATCCAATCATGAAACCCATCATGCCTCTCCAACGGAAAAACTAACAGAATCATCTCCAACTCTCATTTAGCAGGACACAAAAGATTTTCTCTCAATCACATGAACAGCCAGTCACCCATAGAACGGATCCTAATGATAAAATTTCAGGTTGATACCTCTTCGGAAGGGTATTCGATCTACTAGGAATCCTTGACAGATTCTAGTAGATTGACAAAATTTATGAAAATAACGTTTCAACAACATTAGTCTTTTAAATGATACAAACATATCCCTAATTATTAGGATCGTAACTAGAAATATACTAATTGATAAAATATAAAATAAAGAGATCCCTAAATAGTATATTTGTAGTCTTTTTAAAATGCGACCTTATTAGAACTATCATTGAGAAACTACTTATGGAAAAACTAACATTAGTATGTGATTCGATCCCACATGAAGGTTCAAAAACAATTCTTGTAAGAACCTTGAGAGAACCACGTTGCAAAGAAGTTCATACTAATACAAAGGGAGATAAAAAGTTGCGCTGTTGATGGATGATGTGCATGAGATGAGAACAAATGCTAAACATGAGACTATACATACCTGTTGCCAGCATAGGATCAACCACAAAAACTTTAGATCCTTCTGGAAATTTTTCAGGTAACCTGGAAATAAAATACAAGAATACTGTCAAAAAATGGGCTGCCTAAAAGTACGAGAAATAATGGGCTGCTGTTATGGAAATCACCCCTATCTTCACTACGCCATTGGCCGTGCTAGAATTAGGAGAAAAGGAAAAGAAAATATTGGACAAAAAGCATTTTTTTCTGGCAAAAATATAAATTTCTTACTTGTTCAAATATATAGTTGGCTGAAGAGTTTCCTCGTCTCTGCTTATTCCTTTTCCATAGAAGTATAAAAGTGTAATTATTACTCAATTTAATGAACAGACAAGAAATGTGCTCTAATTTTAAAAGAGCATAAACAATCCAAGCACTAGAGAAACCATCCCAGAAAAGCTAGTTGCTATGGGGGAGAAGCAAGCACTTGTTATTAATCCACCAAGCATCCTTACTTTGATGTGGGACGTAGACACCCCATAATACTCAAGCTCCTATTAGTGCATCCCCAAATTTTATGATCTATAAACAAGTGATTATTATTTTAACATGAACTGTCACAATTTATTCAAACATATATGACCATGTTGTAAGAAGCATCAATTGTCCCGTAGCGGAAACTAGGTGGACCGAGTCACAATCGAATCGTGGTGCTTGGACTATTACTTTTAAGTAAAAAGAGTTGCGCTCTGACTAATAGCTATAACTTTTGACCAAGTGGTAAGCGCTCGGTCCTAACAATTGGTATCAGAGAATTCGATTCCTGGTAAGCAATTATTAAGGGGGAGATTGTTGCGGGTTGCACAATTATCCCGTGGTGGAGGCCGAGTGGACCGAGTCACAATCCAAGAATGGGATTCCTTATAGGACAATTGCTGAGGGGGAGATTGTTGCAGGAAGCATCAATTGTCCTGTGACGGAGACCAGGTGGGCCGCACAATCGAATCGTGGCGCTTGGATTGTTACTCTTAAGTAAAAAGAGTTGCATTCTAACTAATAACTATCGTTTTTTGTCAAGTGGTAAGCGTTCGATCCTATCAGACCAGATTTTTATAAATGAATTGTGTTCAAGTACAATAAAGCATCTGTAGGGTGTGCCTCACAATTCTAGCATCTGCATTCCCTTTTTCCATTAACTGCAAGTATCATTACCTAGATGATATGTTTTTGTTGCAGGCAAGATCGATGAAGCATGTTCAGCAAGAGCAAGACCGGCTCTCAAGATTGGAATTACCTGAAAAATTAGTAAATGATTCAGGCAATAGATTGCAGAAAGACAGTATAACAATGGAATTAACACTACACAAGCAATAATTATTTAGGCAATAGCTTCCAGATATGACTTGAGTTTGATCAATAATGACCAATGTCAACGGCATGAAAGGAAAGCCAAAAACTTGAGTATGGTTTTAGCCAAAGACATTACACCCCTAAACTGCTTCACAATTAAGTTCAGGTAAACAAAAATTCTTGTATTATTTAATTATCAGGTCACAAGAACTCTGCAAATATTTAATTCTAGTTAAAGATAATGAAAGTAATATGCTACTTGCCGCCACAGGCTCCCTTGGGTCAATGAATTCCACAGTCGCTACAGCCATTGGTGATTGAATCTGTCCAGAAATAGTGGGCTAAAAACATTGAAGGCAAAGCAAAAAGAGAAAAAATGTAAATCCAAGGCCATGAGTCTGACAAAGAAAGAAGAAAAAATTAAAAGACAGGAATAAGAAAAAACATAAATCATTCAACTGTCAATAAGTGACATACAAAGTGAAGGGAAAACAAAATTTGGACAATTATGTTGGATGCTGGGAAGTTGGAACTATAGTGGACAATAGTGAATAGCAAATAGTAAATAGTGTCACCAAGTGGCCACCTCCAAAAAATGCTATAGTGGATAGCAGTATTATTTTTAATATACTTATTGTGAAAATTGCACACACGCACACACACATATATATAGTTAGAATTCTTATTATTTAGTTTTTATTACTATTATTTAGTTTATTATATTTTTTCATTACAACTATTTTTAATTTATTATATCCATATTATGCTTTATTAGTTTATTATTATTATTTAGTTAAAAAGTTTTATTATTATCATGCTAACAATAAACTAACTCTATTTAATTACTATATTTTCTACTTATATATTCTGTTATATATTTACACATTATTATGTAATGTTATATAGTTTATCTCTATGATATAACATTTCTAATATGTAGTTATGTGTTAATACTTTTAAATATTTTTAAATGTTCTTAAATATTAGAGTATCCTACAGTCTCATAATAATATAATATATGATTAATTAAAAAAAAAAATCCCAATTGTAGTGTGTTTAGGGTAGAGTGGGAGAGTGAGCCAATTGTGAATGCAGGCCCAACACCCACTGACGCAAAAAACCAAAAACCCTAATTTGTTCCTCCCACTCCATCAATCGTCACCTTACTCCCCTTTCTTCTTTCAGAAAAATAGATAATGCTATAAAAGACCACGACAGCAAAAAAAAAGAAGAAAAAAGAGATTGACAAGCAAAAATGCATGAACTTATTGAAAAAAATGATTTTACCAAAACCCTCCCTGAATCGATCCTGGTTTCAGGGGTATTTTTACATTCAATGGCCCAAACACTATAGTGGCCTTAAAACCCGCTTTCAGGCCCCAGTTTTAGCTAGCTATGAATGGCAGTGATATAGGGCATTAATGACAACTATGGTTGGAACACAGCATAAAGATTACAACCTGTTCCCTTTAGGATTAACCACATACAGATAAAACAATAGCTCCAATTTGTAACATTTTATGACTAGAAAAATAAGATAGCATCAACATCAAATCATATTGTAGGAACAGGAAAAATCCAAGTCAAAATCATGAGAATGATTGCAAGATGTGAACTATGAAATAGCAACTAACCAACCAATCCCTTGAAGCTTCATACATTAGTAGCCTTCCCAACTCTGCCATTGCATTTCCTACAACAATAGAAACTTGAAGTGTCAGTCATCATTTTTCTGATTAATCCATAAATTTAAAGCCAAGTCTGATTAAAGTTTAGTAAAATATTGAGATCAGAAAATAAACAAAAGAAGCAGAATGACAGGAAATTGGAAAACTTACTCTGCATTTGGCTTGTTTTCTGTTTTCATTTTTAGTTTATATTTTTCCTCAAAATGCCATAATATTTTCATTTAGCTTCTCATATTCAAGAAAGTATATGATGAAAACAAGATTTTGTTAAATTTATCATCTTTGTAAATTGAAGAAACAAAAATAAAATAAAAAAACTTTGTGTAATTCATACGGAAAACATGTCTATTATTTGAAAATGAAACATAACACAAACCAAATGTACCATTTGAAATTGAGCATTTCAATGAATACAAAATTGATGATCCAGCTCACTAGTCTATCCTATTGAGGACTTGATTTCCTTAACCAAGCTAGTCAAATTAAGATGTTCCAGTTCTAGGTTCCCCATAATACTTAATTTAATCATTTTTCTATCATGCTGATTACTGGTAACAGCAGATAAGAATGCTATGAATGATAAAATTTCAAAATTATCAATCACACTCATTACATTCTTCCCCCACTTAACAGTAACAATTCATGAAAACAGTTCCTCCAACTGAATCAACAGTTTGTCAAAACTCAACCTTATCATATTCCAGCAGCGTGTTTTTGTCAAGAAGTTATAATACCATTAAGCTTCAAATGGGAAAGTAGCTATTTAGTTAACTAAGGTGATGATACTGTTAACTCCTCATTAAGTCAGCTGTAATGAACAAAACCAGGTCAACATTCAACTCTAAAATTACAGAATATTGCTCAAAATATGAAAACTTTGCTACTCACTGAAGATGAGACTAGGGGTTTGCTCATTCCTCAAAACTGAAACCCAGTGCTTGATCAACGGATGAGGAGGCACATACACCTTTAGAAACCCAACAAACGGAGTAATCAATCAATGAAGCAACCTCAGAAATCACCAACACACATACACGCATAAACTCCTTCCATTATTTTACCCTCAACAATCCAATCCAATCCAATCCAATACAAAGACAATTAACCAATTAAGCAGTAACAGATAAATCATCATAGAAGAAAATAGGCTCCTTATTTCCACTTTTTTCTCATTAACAAAACACAAATATAAGCGGAACAAAAATTAAAAAAAATAAATTACAATAGATCAATTAACTAATTGGGCCACCATAGATATATCTCCAATGGATTAAAAAATAACAGCAGATCATTTAACTAGTTAAGCTTCCATAGATAAATTTCTAAACAAAACAAAAGAACTTTCCGCTTCACTCCCTCCATGTTTCTTCCATACAAACGAAAACCTCATAAACCCAGAAGCCAAAACCACGAGCAATTACAAAAAATGCCCAAAACCGTAAGCTAAAACCCGACAATCAGATAAAACAACCAAACCACCACCGATAAATAACAAAAATTACAAAACTTTTGCCATCATTCACTCACTCCAGTTCGTCTTCTCCGACCCAAAACCAATATATTAACCAAAATCACGCATTAAAAAAAAAAAAAAAGAGAGAGAGAGAAGAACACTAACGAGCATTCGGTTCTCGGAAAGGGGCTTCTCCTCCATGGTCATGTGAGAGTACACCGCACCACACGTGCGCCGCTGAGCACCGGAGTAAGCTATCTGCGCGGAGACAGATACAAGACAACAGCAGCAACAGAACGAATAAAAAGGGTGCGCATTTAAGAATCAAGAATCGAATCTAATCCAATGGGAGCAACCGTTCCCATAAAAAAAGAATAATAATTAATAACTAGCAATAATAACAATAACAACAACAAAATAAAAACAAATGGAGCGAAATAAAAGGGAAATAAAATATTTAATTATAACCCTCATTGCCTTTGGCGTGGTGAAGAGAGGGGAGTGTGAGAGCGAAAGAGAGTGACATGTGGACTGAATTGGTGCCGCATCGGTGGGGAAAGGAAGAGTAAGGTTGAAGAGACTGCGAGAACAAGCCATGGTTGTGACCTACGGAGAAGATGATATCTGCTATTCTTAGATTAACGGTTGGTGGAATGGATAGGGTCATTGGAGTTTCATCATCTTCATTTTTCATGCCCAAACAACGACACATTCTTATTTTATTTTTCGATTTTTCATCCGTTTGGTTCTTTTTCTACGTTCTTCGGTGTATAATGATAATTATTTAAAGATCTAAAACAATATTTTTAGTTGACTTCTGGGACTTCACCCACTTTAGAACTTTCATGAGCATTTACGAATTATTTATCAAAAGTAAAATTTACAAGAAATGTGAGACACAAGTTCATGTCTTTGTGGGACATTTGTGATCAAGTAGATATCTTTACTGGTAAAGTTATATGTTTGAAGAGTGAAAAAATGATTAAAGTAAGTTTATATACAAGAAATAGAAAGAAAGTGAAGAAAAGGCTTTTTTTTTTTTGAAGTCACGAAGAGGATAACTTAGTTTAATTTTTTTGATCAAGGGTACAAGCACAACTTCAGGTAATTTTAGTTGTTCTTTTATTTTGGTTATGTTTTATAAATTTGAGAAATTAAATTCTAAAATCAAAAAGAGTTAAAATAAAATTTGGTTAAGTGATTAGTTTGTTCTTCAATGTATAAATAAATTAAAATTAATATAAAATAAATTTTAGAATGTATAAATTATAGTTAAATAAGAAATTTATTTGATATCGACATCTTTTTAATTAGGTTTATATGATCTTTTATATAAATAAATAAGTTATGAAAAAAAATATGATATATTGAAGAAACTATTGTTTTCGAATTCAGATTATTCAATTAGTAATTGAAAAGAAAATATCTATTTGCAGGAATCTTTTGTATTATATGCATAATCATTATTAGACATATGTTTAAGGATTTATTGTACCTTTAATCATGTCCAAGGAGATATTATATGATATGAACATGACCTATGATAAGGGCTAGAGTAAAGGAAACAAAGGAAACTCTTCAATAAGTATTGTTGGTTGACCAAATTGTGTTTTGGATTAATCAATTAATGGGCTTTAGTTTGATTTTGTTTTAAGTTGTAATAAGGGCCCAATTGAAAATTTAGTCATCAGCCTTTGAGAGACCAAGGGGTGCATAGTTGATTGACTTTTAGTTGCCACAGTTTCAGATACAATCAGTCGTTAAGTAGTTTCAATTCCTACGTTAATGGATCATTATTAACCTTTATTTGTTTTCATTAAATAGTTTTCAATTCCTAGATTAATGGGTTATTATTAATATTTATTTTCTTTTATTGAGTCTTTTGTAATTCTGATGGCAACGCTACTATATCAGCTGAACCATTCTTATCAAGAATAACAAGTGAAATTTTATTCAGAAATATTAGAGTTTATCTCTTTTATCTTAGTGAGAGTGATTCTCCTAAATTCTTGAGTGATTCAATAACCCTTGGCTGTATCAAAGGACTGTAACATCCTTTGTGTGTTGCCTCCCTTGGGAAGAGTGATTCTTTCCTTTCACCTTCTTTCTAATTCCTAAATTTCTTACAAGGTTTTAACCCTAAAGATCCTAAATTACTCCCTTGTGATTCATACCATTTGGTATTCAGAGTTCCGGTTTAAGGGTTCAAACATCAAATTGATGGCAGAAGAGGAAAATTACAATCAAGAAGCAGGAATTAATCCAATTCAAATGAGAGTATTGGTACAACATTTGGAAGGATTAATGATACGACATAACAATGAGCTCCATGAAAGATTGAACCGGTTGGAGAATAGAAATCCTGAAGACGAAGAAGAAAGGAGAAATAGGAGAATGAATGATGGAGTAACAAGACCAAGTAGGCTTGAAGGAGTCAAGCTTAACATTCCTCCGTTCAAAGGAAAAAGTGATCCAGAAGCATACTTGGAGTGGGAGATGAAAATAGAGCATGTTTTCTCATGCAACAATTATGAGGAGACCCAAAAAGTGAGGCTTGCAACAACAAAATTTTCTGACTATGCTCTTGTTTGGTGGAACAAGCTACAAAAGGAGAGAGACAGAAATGAAGAGTCAATGGTTAATACATGGACTGAGATGAAAAGGATCATGAGAAAGCGGTATGTGTCGGCTAGTTATGCAAGGGACTTGAAATTTAAACTCCAAAAACTTACTCAAGGCAACAAAGGGGTTGAGGAGTATTTCAAAGAAATGGACATGCTCATGATTCAAGCAAAGATTGAAGAAGATGAAGAGGTAACTATGGCCCGATTTATTGGTGGTTTGAATATTGATATATGTGATATTGTTGAGTTGCAGGAGTTTATTGATATGGAGGATTTACTTCATAAAACAATTCGAGTGGAACAACAACTCAAAAGAAAAGAAGTGACTAAGAAGAGTTCTACCAACTTTGGATTTTCAAGTTGGAAGGACAAAGGCAAAAAAGATGGGACTGTTACTTCTAGTAGTTCCACACCTATTCCTACAAAGACTCATTCAAAATATGAAGAACAACCCTCTAAAAAAAGTAGAGATGTGAAGTGTTTCAAGTGTCAAGACCTAGGACACTATGCTTATGAGTGCCCTAACACAAAAACCATGATTCTTAGAGAGGGAGAATATATAAGTGAATCTGAGGTTGAAGAGGGAGAAAAGAGTGAAGACACTGAGGAGGAGGAGGAGATTCCAAAGGGAGATTTATTAATGATTAGGCGATTACTTGATAGTCAATTGAAACCTATGGAAGAAAACCAAAGAAAAAATATTTTTCACACTAGATGTTTAATCAATAACAAGGTGTGCATGATGATCATAAATGGAGGTAGTTACACCAATGTGGCTAGTGCTAGATTAGTATCAAAGCTAAATTTAGCTACCAAACCACATCCTAGGCCATATAAACTTCAATGGCTTGGTAAGGATGGAGAGGTGCAAGTGAGACATCAAGTTGAAGTGGACATTTCCATTGGAAAATACAATGATAAGGTGCTTTGTGATATTATTCCTATGGAAGTCAGTCATTTACTTTTGGGGAGACCATGACAATTTGATAAAAGAGTTAATCATAACGGGTTCACCAACAAGATTTCTTTCATACACCAAGACAAGAAGATTGTGCTCAAACCTTTGAGTCCACAAGAAGTATATGAGGATAAAAAGAAAATGAGAGAAAAACTTCTTCAAGAAAAGAGAGAGAAAGAAAGCGTTAGTGAAACACTTGAGAGGAAAAAGAGTGATCAAAAGAAGAGTGAAACACTTGAAGTGAAACAGAGCTATTTAGCCATAAAAAGTTAGTATAATGTTTGTTCTACATTTAATTTGTCAGACTTATCTCTTTTTAATGTAGATGACGAATCCGATTTGAGGACAAATCCTTTTCAAGAGGAAGAGAATGATGTGAACATGACCTATGATAAGGGCTAGAGCAAGGGAAACAAAGGAAACTCTTCAACAAGTATTGTTGGTTGACCAAATTGTGTTTTGGATTAATCAATTAATGGGCTTTAGTTTGATTTTGTTTTAAGTTGTAATAAGGGCCCAATTGAAAATTTAGTCATCAGCCTTTGGGAGACCAAGGGGTGCATAGCTAATTGACTTTTGGTTGCCACAGTTTCAGATACAATCAGTCATTAAGTAGTTTCAATTCCTAGGTTAATGGATCATTATTAGCCTTTATTTGTTTTCATTAAATAGTTTTCAATTCCTAGATTAATGGGTTATTATTAATATTTATTTTCTTTTATTGAGTCTTTTGTAATTCGATGGCAACGCTTCTATATCAGTTTGAACCATTCTTATCAAGAATAACAAGTGAAATTTTATTCAGAAATATTAGAGTTTATCTCTTTTATCTTAGTGAGAGTGATTCTCCTAAATTCTTGAGTGATTCAAGAACCCTTGGCTGTATCAAAGGACTGTAACATCCTTTGTGTGTTGTCTCCCTTGGAAAGAGTGATTCTTTCCTTTCACCTTCTTTCTAATTCCTAAATTTCTTACAAGGTTTTAACCCTAAAGATCCTAAATTACTCTCTTGTGATTCATATCATTATGTTTAAGGATCTATTGTACCTTTAATCATGTCCAAGGAGATATTATAGGTACCATTTTAAAGGAGATATTATAAGCACCATTTTAGAGGTTTACAGGCAGACCAAAATATAGCAGAGAGAGGGTATCGTGTATGTGAATAGTACATGGAAATTCTTCCATAATTTATTATGACATCGGAGCAACCAGGTTCTAAGAAAGAGAAATATGTAGAAATAGCCGGGGTGGTGAAGAAGACGTCATCTCCATATGACATGAATTCGAACGACAATCCAGGGAACATAATCACGAAGAATGAGTAAAAGTTGTGAGAACCTTGTTACGTGCACAACGTAAAAATGGGGGTTTGTGGACGGCATCATGTAACAGTCGAATGAAGACTCACCAGAAATTGAGGATTGGTGGACCGTGCGATCTTTGGTGGTGTCTTGGATCCTAAACACCATCAAAACTTCTCTGCGTTAACTGAAATCAAAATTGGCTAAATGCAAACAACAAGGGATAATAACTATGGTGAACCAACATGGTAGAAAGAGTACCTGAGCCAGAGGTAGACAATTGTCCTACATATATGTGGAGTACATTACAACTGAATAATAAGTATTAGTAGGCTTATATTTGATGTCAAATCTCAACATGATGATTTAATATTAATCTTCTTCAAATATTTTAAATAAATAATTTTAATCATAATTGTAATATTTTTTATTTAACTTTTTTTAATATTTTTATGCAAATATTTGGAGTAAAAAGTTCAAAGTTTCTTTTATCAAATATCTTTGACAATTTAACCTTCTACATATAAGAACATAAATTTATCTTCTATATATGGAATACATCCCTCCAAAATTGAATGAGAGCAACTAGTTTTATTTCATTTAGTAGATGGATAGACAAGTTAACCATTATGTTAAAAAAATAGGTGAAATAATCATCTTTAAATGACAAAGTATATACACTGTTTCTAATTCAACTAATCCATATTTTAA